TTATTATGAAAGCAGCAGGAATTGCAGTACAAAAACCATATAATTGCCCATTATGTCATGCCACAGTACAGCACTGAGGTAGTGCCACGGTGACACTGTTGACCTTTGCCATTCCACAACGTACCACATTGGTTGACCAGGGGATCCCGCCCCATGTCGCCAGAACAGCAGCCGGAAGACACCCCGTGGTGGGATGGAATGGCCCTTCAGCCCCTTGCTGGGAACAGTGATGTGCGCTGGTGTTCTACTCAAGTGGGCCCCTTGCCCAGAAAGAAATGAGGGGTCTCATTATTGTTGAATACAGTGAGTTCTCACGAGTTCAAAAACGAACAAGACCGTACCGCGTTTGCCTGAGAACGTTCATTCTTTTCCAGAATCGACAAGCGTTACTGAAGTTACACCGAAGTACACCGAATTACAACGAAGTGTTTAAGCTTCCGCGCCCGCAACCCCTCCCCCCAGCGATGAATGGCCTGGGTCGCAGCTTACGTGAAACCGAATGGCGTTGACTACTGCAAGTGACACCAGGCGGCGGGTGCCGTGGGCGCGAGGACGACCGTCTTTTACTATGAAATAGGCCTTTGAGAACCCTGTGTCCTCCGTTCTTGTTAAGGGTCTGGCTGCGCGCCCGACTACAGCTTAATTCTGACCCATGAAGACTATAAATACCTTTTCATTTCTCATACGTCAGTAAGAAATATAGGATAGCTGTGCGATTATTTACCAGACATATAAAAGTAATGAGGCGTCGCAGCAGATCTGGAACTACCTACTGTGTAACATTTATCACCAAAACAAAGTTGATTACATACACAGCAGTCACAATACCTACTCTGTTTCATTTAAATTCAAGCAGGCTATGTCAAACCAGGTCAAAGGGGTCAATTTAATACTTAGCATGTTCCGCAAGCTGTAAAGTGCATTTGCGAGGACCATTATGCATCTAGGTTAAGACAATACTATTGGCCTTAGTCCCCGTAGAATAATTAGGGGAAAGGAGAGGAAGATGCATTAACATTTTGACTACTTTCTCTGTCAAAACAAATATCACAGGCAATTCCAACGCTCTAAATTGCCTGCCGATCCTACTCGATTTTTCAGGCCATTTTTTAAAACTGGGAGCCACGGTTTTTGCAAGCCACCAGCATTCAGGGGATTCAACGCGAAGCAAGCCAGCCGTTGCTACGATAGTATATAGCAAACTAGGAGATAAAATACGCGATAAATGTGTACGTACAAAATACTTCATGTCAACTTTACCACACATCATGCTTCATTCAAAAATACAAGCGATTTCAAGTACACCGCATCACGCATCACGCATCATTTACACATGCAAACGATTTCAGTTAAACAGGCATCGTGCATCACGTGCCAAACATCAGTTATACATTTAAACGATTCTAAGCCTAGCACGGATCAGCAACCAGGCACTAACGTTATTTGCATAATCGATGATGATGAGCCCCGAACGTTTAAGTCGGGTCGCTGGCGTCTTATAAAGGTGTATTCACTTGTTTTCTTGTCTGGATGTTCCTGTGCTCTGGAGATCTCTTTGAGTTTAAAAAGGGGTATAGGGTCCGTATCTCCCTGCATTTAGCCGGAGAGTGTGCTGCCAAAAAATGGGTGGCCGAAAGGAGTATTCTCTATTTTGCTAGCGTCTTGCAGGTGTTCTTCACATCTCGAACGAAAAGGGCGCGTCGACTCTTTAACAAAAATTATGTCCTTCCCATCTTTTTCACACAGCTTACACTTAATTTCGTAAGCCACCGTTCTTATGCGTGCAGATCCCTTTAAGACGCCCTCGGGGGGGGGGGGTCAAATCGACCCCCCCCCGAAGGTTTTTCCAGAATGGGTTTCCGAACGGAGCGGCGAAGTCGCGCCAAAGTCTGCATAGCTGTAGACAGTTGAATAGCAGATTGTATGACATCAAAAATTTGGATTTGCATTGTAAGGACGCTGATCTATGGCAGGTCAAAGTCAGGTCATGGTTTCAGCGAAGGCAATTTCTAGGAAATCGTTCAATCTGATCCGACAGCGAAGTGTTAGACGAAGCCATGCGTCTCTGAGATGCTTTCTTAGGCAACACAACATGTGAATGAACAAATTTCGTTGATCTAAGGTCGGGTATGAAGGTTAGAACAAGGTCCAAACCGACTTGTTATATTGCTTTAGGGCCCGCTGTACAGAATAGTTTCTGGGGCTTATTTCGAACTTATTTATGGCGGGAACCGCATTACACATCTTCCATGGACTTCTCGGAGGCCAGAATAGGTCACGGACCTAAAATTGAACCGGGTCGACATTTTGTTTTTAAAACATACTGGCTAGCGTTATCTCTGTCGCTTATTCCAGTGCAAAACACAAGGCAGTCTTGTATGATTTTGGTCACGGTGACCTTCAAGAGGTCAAACAATGTCACTGACCCAAAATGAACATCTGACCTTTTGCTTAGAAACAGTCATCTATTGAGGTTCTGGGGGCACTTTGGAGACCATCCTGGAATTTGACCTTGTTTGATCTTATTTGACCCGAAGGTCTTGACTTAGGAGCTTTAAACTTCGACCTACCTAAGTAAGTTCACGCACAGGTCAGCACACCCTGTAAATTTGGTGTCTCCAGCTCTCTCAGTTCCCGAGATCTTAAGGGAGGGGGCTCAAATTGACCCCCACCCGAGCGAAGGGTATCCAGCAGGCCACCCGTGGCGGGCACCCGGGCGCGTGTTGAAGCCTGATTTGCATAAATGACACCTATTATCTCCAAAGCAATTGCTCATCTGTGCAAGATAGTGTAAATAATTCGTCGTCTGACGGGGTGTGTCTCCGTTCTCCACCACCTTCTACCCCTCCCGTGCTCTAGATCGCTTATACCTTTTCCAACATGTACTTGAAGTCGTGGAGAATATTCATTTCCCATCAGCCAAGCCCATTTTTTTTTGTTTTAAGTTTTTTCTTTCTATTTTAATACTTGATGAGTTTTTTTTTAGTCCCATGGAACATGTTGAATTGTATGGTGTTTAGCGGAAGTTGGATACGCAGCGGCGCAGAATGGTGCACCGAAAATATAGTTAACTGCCTTCTTACCATCATTCCACCTGTTTGCCATGTGTTGACTAGTGTCCAACCATCCCCGAATGACCTTTCACGGGTGGCAGATGCGTGGCCAAGCTCATATTAGGCATGTAAGCTCATATCAGCAGTTATGGGTACAAAACCTAGACGATCTGGACGATGTAGGTACGATACCAATGCAGTACCCGGCCGGTACGATTATACTACGATGGCGGTACTGGCCGTGGTTGTGGCTATCGTAACGGTACATTATCGTTCACAAATCGCGTTCCCAGCAAGGCGCCTGTTTCCGCCATGCACCTGGCCCGTCGGGTCACCATTGCAAGGCTCATACACGGTGAGCGCGAGGACAATCTTTGATCCGCGACGAGACAACAGTTCACCATTTATCAATGATAACAACCCCTGACAATTTTGCTATTTGGGCAATTGTGCATCGGGCGCAAATAGGCTCAATGAATGCGGTAGCCTACTATATCTATTGCGGAGCTCCACGTGCTCATCATGGTTTGCTGAGCGCTGCGGGCCATTTCGGGTGTCATAAGGCTGTCGAAGGACATAATCACTGGTGCGGTCGGAAAGATTTTAAGTGCTCCGCATTGTTGGACAATTTGGAAAATGTAGCAGCAGAAGAGCCGACAGAAAGCGTAGTAAGTTGTGTGCCTATAGGGTTGGGATATATATATATATATATATATATATATATATATATATATATATATATATATATATATATATATGCACATATATTTATATACAGATTTACGTTCGGCGGGGGATTACCGGTTACGGTTGGTACCTCGTTGCGATCGCATTTGCAATCATGTCGTGCGCCAATCATGCGTGAAACTTCACTGGTAGTTGGAGATGCTAAAAGGTCTTGAATAACTGGTGATAGGCATAGTGGGAAGAATGTACATATTTTAAACATGGTTTACAAACGGTTACAGGAGACAAGGTGTTACTACACATTAAAAGTTCATTATTTTACTACGACAAATTTCATGACACATTTCGATGCCGTGTCGTTAGCCATTTTTCCTAGAGCTCCCAGTGTATTCAGGGTCTTATATACAACCTATGATAACTTACAAAATTTTGTTGCGGCCAATCCACTGGTGTTTTTCACTCAAGTATATAGTGCTTAGCTTGAATATGTCAGAGCGGAAGCATCCCCCCCCTTTATAAGTCAGCGCTATGGACAGCAGCGAATCAAGGTGAGTCTATTCCAATCTCGTAATCTATTCGAGTCCTGCAGATACCAATGCTCAACTCTTAAAGAGACGGTACGTTCACGCGTTGCCTTCTCCGGGAAAGACTACCCTATCCTTGAGCCTGACGCGTCCGTATGACTATAGACGGGTGTGGCCGCCCGCCGGACCCGGGCAACAAGGAGCAGAGCGAGCGTCGTCTTGGCAGCCGCCGTGCCCTTCTTGCACCCCACAGAATCTCGGGGCACATGGGCCGGGTGAATACGGACCTGCATATAAAGGAGCCTCGTCTATAGCAGCGGCACTCCAATAATCTCACCGGACTCAAGACAGTTCGTCATGAAGGTGAGGAAGCCCGGGAGCTTACGCTCAGGACTCGCCATGTCGATTTCCCGCACGCCGTACCGTAAGAGCTCGTCAGTCCGCTCGCTCATACTCAAATGAGCCAGTATTCTCGGGTTTTACGAGAATGCCAGAGCAACTGCGTCCTGTAAGAGTTGTGATGCAAACCTTGCAACTGATGGCGGCCCATAGCTTGTTGAAATGTTGTTTACATATTGACAATTGACATGATAATTGTCTATCGTCTTCATGGGCTTCCACCAACTGATCGCGTGTTTTTAAGTAGCTCACTGTCACTTTTGAGCCAGTTGTGCTTGAACGTTTCCAGCCCTTCTGCCTCCTAAAAGGTGATATGTTACTTATGGTATTGTTGCAGGTGGTCATCGCTCTGTTTGCGCTGGTGGCTGTGGCCAACTCGGCCCTGGTGTACTCTGGCCTGGGTCTGCCGGCGACCTACTCTGGCCTGCACGCCGTGGCGTACAGCGCCCCGGCCGTGCACATCCAGCCACAGATCACCACCTACTCGCTCAACCCCATCGCCCACGAGGTAAGCCACCAAACACGTAACAGTGAGATAGCGCACAACGTATGTACCATTGATAAGAGACGAAAATCGCTACATGAATGCCCCGCGAAGACAATGCGTCGTTTAAGCAATAAGAGACATCTGCGGGCATGCCTGCATCCCAAGCATTAACTTAGTTATGATGCAATGCCTTGCAGTTGTTCAGTGCAGTAGATACACAAACTGCATTGCAATCAGGGAGGCTTTTCTTCCAATGTTATGCAGCCTCACCCTGGCAATATTCGTCAGCCAAGTGTAAGATAGCTCAGAGGCTAAACTGACCGCATAACTATAGTGACATAACCGCAAAGGTGGTCATATTACCGACAATCGTCTGTTCGTTCCCAGGTGAACTACGCCCATCCCGGTTACGTGGCCGTCACCCCGGGAGCCAAGCACGTGGCCCCCCTGCCGTACGCCGGAGCCAGCCATCACGTCAACCTGGCCAACGCCCCCGGCACTAAGTAGACATCCTACTGTGCCTCATCACACCACCAATGGATTCGTTCGAACCGCATAACGTTGGTTCGTGAATGAGCGTTCCTGTCATCAATAGACCATTTGACATCAGTCACTGTCTTTTACCTACGGCTTTTGATGGCCCTGTTCAAGCACAACCGGACCCAAGCACATGCACAATGGCTCTGGATCTACCTTATCTATAGAGGGGTAGAACGTGCCGATTTGGTGGATAAAGTTGGCAACAACAACTGGGTGTGCTTACGCCTCGCCTAGTAGCAGGTATCCTCTTGTTTTCAATTTCGACGACTTCCATGAAAAAATATTGAAGTACACACTACACGATCTCAGATGGGGTTGTGTGGTAATCCATTACATGATACCCCATAAATAGGGCTATATATTCCTGCATGTATGAAACTACCACTCCTGACAAAAAAAGTTCCGCAAAGCCACCAAACCAGAGAGGGTTTCCTACCGTGCTTATAGGTATCTATTGCTGTGAACACAACATTAGCGCAGATGAGAAAGACGGATGTGGAGGAAGGCGGGACATGACAGAAAACCTAAAACCTAACACTTCAAACGATTTATCCAAAAATGATAACGATAACTAGCAGATATCGCAAGGTCATACAGGGTCAGCATTTTTATATGTCATGCAAAATATAATTAGGTAATCTGTTAACCAAATAAAACCAAGAAATTTACCGATGGCGTGTGAAACCCGTCTTACTCCATCCGGTGGGGTGAGACAGATTTGTTAGCGGGGAAAAACGGTCAACGTGACATAATGGACATAACGGGAAATCACTGCACTCACCCGCGAAAATAAGGGGAGCGGCAACGAAACCGTGATCTCCCCAGAGTGGCAACAATAATCGCACAGATCCGGACTTTTAGAGAAACATAGAGAGACTTTCCACAGAACAGTTTGTTCAACAACACTGCTTACGGAAAGTGGAAGCACAACCCAAAGAGTTCTTAAAATTAGGACAATTCTTTTGAGGGAATTCATTCTCAAAACCAACGTTTTGGATTCCGCTTTGCCTGCACTTGAAACAAACATTAGGTAAAAACTAGCAAATTGCTTTTCAGATTTCATTAGGCTCCTGAAACACAGCTCACATGTGAAACGCAACACGTGCTGGTCCAACTTACATAATCATTTCACCCAATATTAGTAAGGTTTCAGTTTACATGATAGCAGCTTGAAAGAAGCATCCGAGAGGAACAAACAGCTGGAAACTGTAAAATAAAACACACAAGCGGAGCGACTTAATGACCCGCCAGTGTCAAAAAGGCTACTCAATATCAGCTATCTCCGGATCTCTTGATCCTGACCACACATCTCGCATGTGAAGGAAAGACCGCACTCTTCCGTGGTAGCACATTCATCATGTACTCGTCACATTGCACAAGGGACAGGCACGAGGGGTAAGTAAGTTTTGGGAAATGCCTCTTGGAAACAAACTTTGAACTTTGCGGACACTTCGACCCAGCAACAGGATAAAACGATCCCACGACGGTAAGGTGTGACTCCGTAATTCAGTTATCCATGGACAAATTCAACACTAATCGTAGCTACGGTCTAAAATGGGGTATGGGGAAACACGGGTATTTCACAAGTTCTTACCCGTCTCATCCCCTTTTCGCCGACGAAATCGACGAAAAAAAATTGAATGTCATATTAGCAGGGCTCCTGCCAGCTATCCGTTATAGCCAATGACCGTGCAAAGTATCATCCGCCAAAAGCTTGCATTTCTAAACTTCACTAAAGGTAGGAAGAACTCTTTACAAAGTGATGGAAAAACACCCACGTGGGCGGCGAAGAAAATATGTATCGCTTTTAAGACAAGGCTGTCGCTTATCTTTGCCTCGAAACGCGTCGACAATAAGAGGTGCTGGAGGGCCGTAGGTTATAAGTTTGGCGGTGGTAGCTTCAGTGCTTTAGCTTGTATGGGGTGTACCGTCTAATCCTACCATGGCCGTCTTACCCCATTTTCCGGCACATAAACACAGCAAATACGTATAAATACAGAGCAATGAGCATGGCATGTGAATAACTATTGCTTGTAATGTCATTTTATATATGTTTATTAAACATGACATGACACATAATAAACATGACATAACTGACATACGCAATATGGGCGACATGGTTGGTGTAGGCACATCTGCAAAATGGAACAAGGCCAGAACGGGCCAGGGAGAAGGAAAATAAACAACATGGATTTATTTTGAGCAACATGAGCAACATAACGTGTAGTGCAAACATATTTGTCGTGGGCGTGCGTGTAATCACGTCTTTAAGATCGAAGCGGACACATCAGAATTGCAGGGATGAAATGGGATTATGGGCGTAAAAACTGGCGTGCGTGTAATCAAGTCGTTAAGATCGAAGCGGACAAGTCAGAACTGGAGGGATAAAACAGGATTATAGACGTGAAAACAAAACAAAAAAATCATTTTGAATGCAAGTATATGAGAACAGAAACCTTTTGGAGCAGAATTATGGGGCGTAGAACCACACGCACACGATTCGCTTAAAACAATGGTCAAAAATTACGATTGCCGTACCCCAATCTCAATCGAGATTTCGTCACTACCAGCAATTATGTGGCAGGCCAGAAGACGCATGTTAGGGGAGAAGACAAAAGAGTACAGGGCAGGAGATGACGGCAGAATATGAGACAATATAAGCCAAGGCAGAGCTCGAGGTGACATGGTAGAGCAAAATAGAAGACAGCAAGGTAGACAAGAATAAAAAAGCCCATCGCCGAACATCACTTAGCCAGTACAGCAAATACAAACTCGACTCGATAAACTGATCCCTTTCTAGAAAAGAGCCGGCCACAGTAGACACCACACGTGCCTGCAAGTGGCGCCGCTTCGAGGCCGCTCCAGGAGGCTGCAGAAAGGCGTTGATTTAAAGTGGCTGCTGGGCTCCTGCCGGAAGTATTAGCCACTGAGGCAAAATAGGACACTTCATTGAAAGGCGTGATGGCAATGCTCTAGGTCTGTCTAAATCTGATGGGTCCATTATGGCTGCAACCGAAACATACATAATAGGAAACATAATAGGCTCCAAAATGCAGGAACAATGCAAGGAATGTCAAACTACATTTACGAAAGGCACCAGATATAAGGGGCACTACAAAATATATGCCTTGTTGTATGGCAAAATTCTGGACCTGACCATTCGGCAAAGGTGCACTAAAGCCATTCCCTTCACACCGTGACTTTGATTTTCAAAATGCACCCAAAGGCACACAGGCGCCCCGAAACGCCACATGCTTTCATTTCAAAGAGGCCTAACAATGTTGTGGCCAAGATAGAAATTCTGACTAAATTTTTAGGTTTTATCTGCTTAAAATGAGCCCACTGAGCCATTGTAAGAAACGAAGAGCGCCAGCGATTTATTTCATGCACACCTTTAACGCATGCTTTTTTAAATCTTATTCAATACTTCGGGCACAATTGATCTCGCTGTAGCGACTGCTCTCTATCCCAGTCGTAATATGTAGAAATGTTTAAGAGAGAAAGAGAGAGAGAGAGAGAGAGAGAGAGAGAGGAGAGAGAGAGAGAGAGAGGAGAGAGGAGAGAGAGAGAGAGAGAGGAGAGGAGGAGAGAGAGAGGAGAGAGAGAGAGAGAGAGAGAGAGAGAGATATATATATATATATATATATATATATATATATATATCAAAAAACAAAGCGTGGCCACATTAGAAATGAGTCAAGTTTGGCGTTCTTTTAAGGGAGGGGGGACTTTTACTATCAGGTGCTCTTCGTCAATCATTTGCCCCTTGCCAAAGTTCCCACTGCGCACCTGTTTACGCGCACATCGTGCAGCGTCTTTTCACGCGTCTTTTAAAGCACTCTCGTGGTTCCTGGATGTTGCTTGAGGGCGACATTCGGGCCTGGGAGTGGTCGGATTCCGGTCGTTGCGTTCACACAAGGGCATGCAACATGCAGTTTTCCGTTATCCAACGAGCAAGTGCTTTTTAAACCCGCCAAATGTCGGTAAAGGAAGCCGGTAAGAACATCACACTTGTTATCGGATGACGTCGGGTGAGACTTCAATAAGTGCGTTTTTGTGCCGGTATGGGAACATGAAGAATTTGCTACGCTAACAGGGATGTTGTTATACCACACAACGGAAACATGCGCCCAAAACACAAAAAAATATATATCATTGTACTTAGACTTGAACCAGAATTATACCTGTTTACGTTGTGTGTCGCTATGGGACATGGTCTCGCAGATATGAGAATGTGAAGCTGCAAAACGTTTAGCGTCGTGAAAGTTTGACATCTGACCTGACATGATGGGGTAAACTATTGCACCAGAAATGTACAACTCAGCATAGATCACAAGGCCTCACTGAGGCCAATGCACTGATGTTTTTCGCTAAGCTAAATCTTGCTGAGCTTGGATACGCCAGAGCAGTCACATCGCCCCTCCCCCCATCAGTCAGCGTGATGAACAACAGGGAATCAGGGCGAGTGTCAATGTTTTAAAATCCTACAAATACCAATGCTCAACTTTGAAAGAGACAGTAGGTTCGCGCGTTCCCTTCTCCGGGAGCGAATACCCTATCCTTGAGCCTGACGCGTCCGCATGACTCTAGACGGGTGTGGCCGCCCGCCGGACCCGGGCAACAAGGAACACAGCGGGCGTCGTCCTGGCAAACACCGTGCCCTTCTTGCACCCCACGGGATCTCGGAGCACATGGGCCGGGTGAACACGGACCTGCATATAAAAGGAGCCTCGTCTATAGCAGTGGCACTCCAGTAATCTCACCGGACTCAAAACAGCTCGTCATGAAGGTGAGGAAGCCAGGGAGCTTACGCTCAGGACTCGCCATATCGTTTTCCCGCACGCGGAACCGTAAGAGCCCGTCAATCCTCTCGCTCGCAGTCCAATGAGTCAGTATTCTCGGATTTTACGACAATGCCAGAGCAACTGCGTCCTGTATTGGCTGTCATGCAAACATTACAACGGATGGCGACCCATAGCTTATTGAAATTTTGTATACATATTGACAATTGACATGATAATTGTCTATCGTCTTCATGGGCTTCCACCAACTGATCGCGTGTTCATTAA